CTGAGGGTAATGGAAAGCTATTGAAGGGTTTTTAAGTAGGCGACTGACCATTAGCTTGGGGCTTTTTAAAGTTCAAGTATCTGATGCTGAAAATGAATGTAGAAAAAAATATATTCAAAGGTTTCATGGCCAGGCATGGTGGCTCACGCCTGTAATCCCAGCACTTTGGGAGGCTGAGGTGGGCGGATCACCTGAGGTCAGGAGTTCAAGACAGGTCTGGCTAACATGGCAAAACCCCGTCTATACTAAAAATACGAAAAACAAAAAAAAAAGCGTTTCAGTGTTATCCAGTTCTCACTGAACATGTGCATGCTAAATACATTATGAGGCCATCTATAGGAATGGAGACTATGGCTAACAGCAGAGCCAAAATATTTCATGTCCTTTGCCTCTAAACAGGTGAATAATACAAACTTTTGGATAATTGAAACAGCTGTGCTAAATATCAGGGTTGCAGCCTCAGAATGGCAGACTGGCAGACAATTTCTATCATTGTGTCTCCGTCTCTTTTGCTGGCTGTGTATAAACACAAGTGGCAGCAGTGCTGCCGTGAGCAGGTGTGAATCAACACACAGCAAGGTATATTAGAAATAGGGTAGAGAAATAAATACTTCAGCTCACTCCTTAGCCAAGTTAATCGAGAAATGCTCACTGAATCCAGTATTATGCCTGGAAGCAGGGAATTGAATAATAGGTGTTGGAATGATGGTAAGCTAACACTACTTAAAAAATCAACTCTATTTAATTTGGGTATGTGCTAGTTGTCAATACTATCAAAGAATGAGAGTAACAAAGAACCCAATAAATTAATGTGGGGCCCCCCACAACATCTGAACATAAGGTCAGTAGTAAAAACAATATAAAGGAAGAAAGGCAAAACCTCCAGTGATTGCAGAACTTAATGGTAAACGTCCTTATTTAAACATGTTTCAGTGTGTCTTTACGCGGATTCGACTCACATACAGCTCTTGGTAAAGCATCAACTTTTTTTGTAGTGCTGTCTGATTCTCTAAGAACCTGATGAGTTTCTTTGAGCAAGAAGTAGCAGCTCAATCTAGCTCAGCTGTACTCAATCTGAGTTGCTTTCCTACCTACAAACCCTCACTTCAAAGCAAGGAACATAATGTACAATTTTTTAATGGCTCTAGACCCAGGCACTCAGCCGCTCTGCTCTGCGCCTTACCTCAGTGTAAACACCTCATCAAGATTGCCTGCGCTTCAACAATAGCAGCCAAATGCAATTCGAGAACCACAAGCCTTTGAAGTCCTCCCTGCAAAGGCCGGTTTTCTAGTCTGGGATAATGACAAGCCATGATTGCTGTCTTTGTTGTATCTTTTCAGTAGAGAAGCAATTATAGGCCCCAATTTAACAGAATAGACATTACACAGCTTATGATGCTCAAAATGCAATTTCATTTGATCATTTTCTCGATTTGATTGGTATTAATAGAATGGTTCACAAAAAAAAAAAAAAATAGCTGGCAGAGGTTGTGTCCCATTCCACTTTGAAAGAGATAATGTAGAAGTATGCTTTACTTGCCCAGGGATCGCACTGGGGTGATTCAGCTGCTGTGTTCTACCAAAACAGCCTGTGGAGGGAAATATTGTATATCCTACATTTTCTGGAAGAGGAAGCGTGGGACACTGTATTTTTCATTTGTAAACTTTTCGCCAGTGCTATAGAAGAGATTCCATCATTGTCAATCAAACAGTACCAACAGTAATAACCTGAATTAACTAAACTAAGTCCCCTTTATTTCTTAGACACTTACGAAAGTCAGGCAATCAGCATCCTCATGGCAGATATATGAAAGAGTTCAACTTCCTTTTTTCCCAGGCTCCAGATGACAGTTTCTCTGAGTCATCCCCACTTTGAGGTTTGAAAAGGATGATTTCCTTGCCTGCTAAGTCAGCTTAGTTAGGTTTTTTACTCTTGACCTTCATTTCTCCTCCAAGATAGAGTTGATTTTTCTTTTAAATGAGTCATGTTTCTGTTGAACATCATGGTCATATGAGATTGAAACCTGCTATAACATTGAGAAAAGTTGTGAAATCTAATACTTTTATAATGATCTAGTGTTTCATCTTGAACTAGCACTGTGAGAGGGACTGAGATAGAAATATGATAAATAGCTGGCTTTGGTGGCTCACACCTATAATCCCAGCACTTTGGGACTTTGGGAGGCAGACCGATCACTTGAGTCCATTACTCTGAGACCAACCTGGGCAACATGGTGAAACCCTGTCTCTACTAAAAATACAAAAATTAGGTGGGTGTGGTGGCACATGCCTGTAGTCCAAGCAACTTGGAAGGCTGAGGCAGGAGAATAGCTTGAGCCCAGGAGGCAGAGGTTGTAAGCCAAGATCGTGCCACTGCACTCCAGCCTGGACCACAGAGCAAGATCTGGGAAACAAAAAAGAGAGAGAGAGAGAGAGAGAGAGAAAGAAGAGAAATAGCTCATTTATAGTTCTAAGCTTTTCATTTCAGCACAAGTTGAACTGTTTCATGATGTGAAGTTTTCCATTTGCCGTGTAGGTTAATCATTCAAAACCTGGTGATTACTTCCATTTGTAATCAGAATTCCGTGATCAAATAGTCTGTTTTTGTTTCGTGTTTTAGGAATGAAAATTCAAGCACAAAAATGTTAAAAAGTTTTTACTTTTTCCCACTTTCAGATTAACCTTAAGTGTTCAAACGTTCACACTGTCTATCTGCCCTATCTCTCTCTATATATAAATACAGTAATTGTGATAGTTACTTTAGCAAAGTTAATAGAGATAGCTCTGGTAGAAGTAAGGTTACACCTGAAATAAAAGAAACAACATGTTGTGTTTTGTACAGGGAAGCCACATTGAGTGGTCAGGAATGAGGGTGTCTTCATTGTCAAATATTTACTTATCACTTAATATTTAACAAATATTTTACCTCTTTCTGTATTGAATACAAGTCTGAAGTCAAAGTAAACAGCAGACAGAAGATCTGAACACAAACAGGACAGATCCCAAAACCCAAGTTCTTTCTAGTCATACACCTTGCTGCTTCTCCACTACACAGCCCGCCAGAGGAAATGTAACAAAACGCATGTAAAGTCCTAAATCTAAATTTTAAAACTAATTACATCAGTTCTGCGGGGAGAGTTAATAGCATTTCTAGGCAGTGGAACAGAGAGTGGGCAGAGGAGGCTGACCTGAGTACTGCAGCACAGGGGAATGAGACAGTCGGTCCTCTAAATAAGAGCAGGCTCACAGGAGACCGGGGTCAGCTTCTACCCACGCAGAACTGTTGTCTGAAGAAGGGGTTAGTCTGGTCTGTGTTATTCCAGAGGGCAGAGGCATAGAAAATACAGAGACATATATCTGCGCATATAAGGAAGAGCTTTCTGGCATTCAGGTTGCTCAGTTAGGGAGCAATATGTTCATCATGCATGAAACAGATTTCTTTTCTCCTCCTCAACCCATAGAAGATCTTTAAACATACTAATACTGACAAACAGGTAAGGTAAGTCTTGCCAGGAAATGGGGCATGAATTTAGGCAGACAGTGAGTAGACATCTACCAGGGATGGTGTGGATGTACTGGAAAACTGGATTATCTCCAGAATATTTTCCAGCATTAAGATTGCATAACTTTAAGTTTTCTTCCTGCAGTACATCCTGAGGGCTAGAATGCCACATAGCACAGACACTAATTTCTTGATTTAAAACAGGTAACTAATGGAGGCAATGAAGGGCCCTTAAATAATTTAGGAGCCTAAATCCTGTGTAGCTGCCTTCATTCATATTTCCCAAACCTGGATGCAGATTAGACCCACCTGGGGAGCTTTATTTATTTATTTATTTATTTATTTATTTATTTAGAGACGGAGGCTCACTCTGTCGCTCAGGCTGGAATGCAGTGGCATGATCTCAACTCACAGCAACCCCCGCCTCCCAGGTTTAAGCATTTCTCTGCCTCAGCCTCCCGAGTAGCCGGGATTACAGGCACTGGCCCCCATGCCTGGCTAATTTTTGTGTTTTTAGTAGAGATGGGGATTTCGCCATCTTGGTCAGGCTGGTCTTGAACTCCTGCCCTCGTGATCCACCTGCCTCAGCCTCCCAAAGTGCTTTGATTATAGACATGAGCCACCGCGTCTGGACTTTAAAAAAATTTTTAAATAGTAGATAGGGAACTTTTAAAATATATTGATATCTGGGGCCACTCCCAGAGCTTATGATTTAATGGGTTTGAGGTGGGATCAGGGCATTAGTATTTTTTTTTAATTTCCTCGGTTTTTCTAATATCTAACTAAAGTTGAGAACCACCGACTTTACATTATTCAAATTCAAACCAAAACTACTAATCGTGCAGGTCAAGGATATTTCTAATAAGTGAGTTAGCAACACTGCTGCATGTGCAGGCTCCGGAGAAAGACCACCCAGCTCTTCTACTTACTAGCTGTTGATCCTGGGCAAATTACTTAACCTCTCTGTACCTTTGTTTTCTCATTTGCAAAAAGGGAGTAATAACATATGCATACCTAATAAAGTGGTTGTGAGGATTACCTGAGAACATTGTGTGCTAAGGGCCTAGGACAGATGCTGGCACACCACGAGCATTCCATGTGTAAAAACATTGTTATTTCTGTTGTCGTCATCATCTTGGCATGTAGTGTTATTTCATGGTGTTTCTATTGGCATGATCAAATGTTACTTGCTGCATCCAGTTCAGATAACTGTTCTAAAATTGGGTCTCCTGAATATGTATTGAGCATGTAAAGTACGTAATAGTTTGACCTTAAGGCACCAGTTTTCTCTTCGTGTCTGCAAGATAAAACATTGTTTATTCCCATTTTCCTTGGGAACAATCAGGTCCCTGAGGACTGATGAGAGGAATCCTTGAAATTAACTGAAAATAAAACCTAGCCCAGCAGGACTGTTTTCTAGAGTGCACTGACTTGAGTCCCATGGCTCTAAGACTAAAATGAATCCAGTTAACATGCTGTATGTGTTTTACCTACCTAGATCTCCTACCCCGTCAGAGTAACAGACAAGACGTCTATTCAGAATGCCAAGGAAATTGAAAATGCTGCCATCGATCCTGAAGACAAATGGCATCAAAGAGCACAACAGCTAAAGGTTACCTGCTAGATTGCATTTTAAGTGTGTTTCAAGCAATACTGCTGAATATAAGTAATGATCGTGACTGAGTTCTTATCACTTAAGGGTTTATTTTTATGCTTGAGAATAATTACCCACTTTCCTATGGATAAGACGGGCTTCTGCACAGAGGAGCCATGGCCTGCCCAGCCAGCCAACCCTACCTGTTTTTCCAAGGGTTCCGTTTGCTGGAAGAAAATAATCATATCACCACAATAATGTATCAACATACTCAGTTAGAATCCCACACAGAAGGAAGGCATGGAAAGACATGCAGGAAAAATCACAGTTCCAAAGAATTGTCCAATTCTGTGCTGCTCCCAAGTCTGATTCCTTTTGTAGTTGGCAGTTACTTATTATTCCTAGACAATGGGGACACTATTCCTGAAAACTGGATGGGAACTCCCAGAGCCTCACCAAACCCTCATTTTCAGAATATAAAAACTTACCAACTGGTCATTTAGCGTGATGACATCCTTTTTGGCCATGGGTGTACTACTTTGAAATCATAAATGTGATTTCAGGAAGATTTTTCCGAAATTCTCCACACTGTTTTTCTAGAAGAAACAGAAAAAGGCCGGGCGCAGTGGCTCACACCTGTAATCCCAGCACTTTGGGAGGCCAAGACGGGTGGATCACCTGAGGTCACTCAGGAGTTCGAGACCAGCTTGGCCAACATGGTGAAACCCTATCTCTACTAAAAATACAAAGATTAGGCCGGGCCCAGTTGCTCATGCCTGTAATCCTAGCACTTTAGGAGGCCGAGGTGGGTGGATCACAAGATCAGGAGTTCAATACCAGCCTGGCCAATATGGTGAAACCCCGACTCTACTAAAAATACGAAAATTAGCTGGGCATGGTGGCAGGCGCCTATAGTTCCAGCTACGCAGGAGGCTGAGGCAGGAGAATCACTTGAACCTGGGAGGCGAAGGTTGCAGTGAGCCGAGGTCATGCCACTGCACTCCAGCCTGGGCGACAGAGCGAGACTCCATCTCAAAAAAAAAAAAAAGAAAGAAAGAAAGAAAAAAGAAAAGAAACAGAAAAAGCACTAGAAGCTCAGGTTTTTCTTGACCCATGTATGTGGAACCTCCCTTGGACCAGGTTTTATCCCTGCCTAAGAAGAGATGAGTCCTTTGAAACTGCTGAACCTATAGAGCCTGTTGACATCAGTTAAAACTATGTACAGTGATAAACATAGTAAAAAAAAAAATAGTAAGTTTTATCCCAGCTTCAGAGAGGTTAGAAAGAAGGGACAGCCCAAATCATCTCTTTTCCTCCCCAGTGACCTCCAGGCCACTCTTAAGAGTTGCAAAAAAAGAAAGAAAAAGTCATTCACCCAGAGCTTCCTGAAAGTTGATGCCAGTGAGGCCACACCTAGAAGTTAAGAGGATGGGGACCGAAATGTCTCATGACTGTGGGATGTGGAGGACAGGATCCACTACCAGACCTGATAGAGAGCCAGGGGAGCTTGGTCAACAGGAACCGGGGACAAAGGAAGTACCTTAAGGTTTGCCATGCATTATGGGTAATGGGCCACAAGAGATGAATTTCTGGGCCTCAACCTGCTATTTACTTGATGCATGACTGGGCAAATCTCAACTTTTTCAAAGCCTTAAGTTTCTTCTTTATTAAATGAAGGATTAGCCTAAATGACCTTCAAGGTCTATCACAGCTGCAAAATGCTAGAATTCTATGACCATGTATGTCTAGTTATTTAAATTATTATAGAAAATACATTTAAAGCATGTAAGATTATTGCAACCTGTAGCTTTCATAATTGTCACTAAGGAAAACCATAGGATTCTCAGCTAATGATAAAAGGTAAAAAAAAACTTTGCCCAGTGGTAATATCATAACCAGGGAGATTTATACAAGGTGCGATTATTGCTAACTGAAAACTTTTCCTAATATCCGCCATGATTACTTGAAATATAGTCAACACTGGCAATTTTGGATAGTCTCTGTGGAGACCGAAAAAAAATAATAATCAAGGTAAAATCACACTGCTTGATTGATGTCATGACCTTTGACAGAGGCAGTAAAACTTTTGTACGGAAGAAAATCAGAAGAAAACCAAAAGAATGCTTTTTGTTCTTTGCGTATACTGTAATTAATGTGCTTATAACCCATTCCTGAATGAAGACATGGAGCAAAACATCTAAAAAGTGTTAGACCTAAAATGACAAAACAATGAATGGCCTAAGGGATGTTTCCCATTCTTTAGGTGGAAAGGATTTGTGGACTGCCCACTGCATGCTACACACCGGCCCAGCACTCTGGGACACAGACACTTCAGGCTGCCTTTCTTTTTCCTCTTCAACTACCCAAATCCAGTGTCTTCTTTTCAGTGCCTCCTCAAGGGCCACCTCTGCATGGAGATTTCCAGCCTCTCCCACCCTGCTCCTCTGCCTTCAGCTCCTGCTGTGTCTATAGTCTGGACCACTGGCTCAGGGCCTGCCATATTTGGCCGTGTCTCATTAGCTGCTGTCTTTGTTTCTTTCTTTCTTTCTTTTTTTTTTTTTTTTTTTGAGATGGAGTTTCGCTCTCGTTGCCCAGGCTGGAGTGCAGTGGTAGGATCTACGCTCACGGCAGCCTCCGCCTCCCGGGTTCAAGCAATTCTCCTGTCTCAGCCTCCTGAGTAGCTGGGATTACAGGTGTCCACCACCACTCCCAGCTAATTTTTGAATTTTTAGTAGAGACTGGGTTTCTCCATGTTGGCCAGGCTGGTCTTGAACTCCTGACCTCAGGTGATCCATCTGCCTGGACCTCCCAAAGTACTGGGATTACAGGCCTGAGCCACCGCACCTGTGTTTCTTTTGTACCCACTACACTATGAGATCTTTAAAGGTACTGATTGCATTTTTCTCTACATCCCCTACCACAATGCTTTGCCCAAGGCTGATGCTCAATAAATATTTACTGACTGATTAAAGATGCATTTAAAGATCATGGACCAGGCACAGTGGCTCATGCCTATAATCCTATTGCTTTTTCGGAGGCCAAGGAGGAGGATTGCTAGAGGCCAGGAATTCGATGTTACAGGTGCCACTGTACTCCAGCCTGGGCAATAGAGCAAGACCCTGTCTCTACAAAATACAAAATGCAAAATACAGATAAAAAGATTGTTTAGTATATCTCCAAGGGAAAATGGGCCTCATTTGAAATTTTTTTCTTGAAAAATGACTTTCAAAGTTTCATAAGCTTACCCTAACAGCAATAACCCTCACTAATGTGAAATATCTTTATGCAAAATCAAAATATTTAACACAACAAATATTTATTGACTATCTACTGTATTCCAGGCACTGTGGATTAGGTGCCTGGCCCAAAAGATAAGAAAACAAAAAAACAAAAAAACCAAAAAAAACAAGCAAACAACAACAAAAATTCTTTAAAACAATAAATAAAACTTGAAGAAAGTTTGTTTTTTTGTTTGTTTGTTTTTGAGACAGAGTTTCGCTCTTCTTGCCCAGGCTGGAGTGTAATGGCACGATCTCAGCTCACTACAACCTCCGCCTCCCAGGTTCAAGCAATTCTCCTGCCTCAGCCTCCCAAGTAGCTGGGATTACAGCCATGCACCACCACGCCCAGCTAATTTTGTATTTTCAGTAGAGACGGGGTTTCTTCATGTTGGTCAGGCTGGTCTCGAACTCCTGACCTCAGGTGATCTGCCCACCTTGGCCTCCCAAAGTGCTGGGATTACAGGCATGAGCCTCTGTGCCCAGCCAAGGTTATCTTTTTTTAAAGCAGTACCTCCCCTCTAGGAGTTCAATACTTTAGTGGGAATACGGTTATGAAATCATTATAATGCAGTAATATGGACATGGGTACAAAATGCAGTGGAACTAAAAGAGCACCTAATTCTGCCCTAAGAAGACAGAGAAATACCCCCCATAGGAGTCAGTATCTCCACTCCCCCTAGAAGGACAAATGCGGGCAAAGGTGTGAAAGTGGGAAGAGGAACAAGGAACCATGACAGCCCTGGCTGCTGTTTCTGTGGTCTAGGGAGGGAAAAGTTGACATAGTTGGTAAGGGCTGCTGTCTGCCTCACGCATCCCAGGACTCAGACTGAAGAAGACATTGTTCACAGTCTAAGCAGATACGCAGCAGTGAGGTGCCGTGCAAGGGGCATTACACATGCAACTCATATATAAGGAAGGCTCCATGGCTTGAAAAAGCTAAATACCAAAAATGCAAACAATAATAATTACATATCTGTATATAGATGTATATTTGTGTGTTTATGTGTGGAGTGACAGAGAAAACAATGAAATGTGACCAAATGTTTAAAATTGTTCAATCTGGATAAGAATCTTTTAGAGTTGTCTGTACTAGCAATTTTTCTGTAAGTTTGAAATAACTTGAAAATGAAAAGTTCAAGAAAAAAGTGCCCACAGGATTTGGTGACTAAAAGTTTATTGGTGTCCTGAACAGAGCAGTTTCAGCGGGATGGGGAGAAGGAACGCTCTATGGCAGGGGACAGAGGTCAGCATGAGAGATAGGGAGCAGAGACCAGTGCAGTCTACACCATCAAGATGCCCAGCTGTGAATTGAGAAAGAGATAGATTATTCTTTGCTTTTGTTTTTTGAGACAGGATCTTGCTCTGTCACCCAGGCTGGAGTACAGTATCGTGACTTTGGCTCACTGCAACCTCTGCCTCCCAAGTTCAAGCGAGTCTCCTGCCCCAGTCTCCTGAGTAGCTGGGATTACAGATGCACGCCACCGTGCCCGGCTAATTTTTATATTTTTAGTAGAGATGGGGTTTCACCATGTTTGTCAAGCTGGTCTCAAACTCCTGACCTCAAGTGATTCACCCGCCTTGACCTCCCAAAGTGCTGGGAGTACAGGTGTGAGCCATTGTGCCCGGCCAAGAAAGAGATAGGATTTAACCAGAGAATGGCATCAAGTGAATGTTTCTTTCCTTCTTTTCATAGGAGAGACTTAAATACATTTACATACTAGAAAGAACGAGAAACCAGAGAGAGGGCGAGGAAAGAGAGACGATATGCCTGAGACCATTTCAGCCTACGTATTTTTACTTTTAAAATACTGAGAATGATGGTCATGATCATATTCTATGTAAGAGTCTTATCCACGCCTAGAGTCTTCACTTGAAGCCAAGTCATCATCATATTCTATTTAAGAGTCTTGGCCGGGCGTGGTGGCTCATGCCTGTAATCCCAGCACTTTGGGAGGCTGAGGCGGGCGGATCACGAGGTCAGGAGATCGAGACCCATCCTGGCTAACATGCTGAAACCCCGTCTCTACTAAAAATACAAAAAAAAAAAAAAAAAAAGGAAAAAAAAAGAGTCTTATCCATGCCTAGAGGCTTCACTTGAAGCCAAGTAATCTTTCTTCATTTAACCTTGACACATAGGCCTTAGTGTCCTGAATCGCTTCGCGCTTGCCTATGAATCTTCACGGGTTTTCTGAATCCTACTCAGGTTGTGTGCCCAGACTGAATGCAGTATGTATAAGGCTCAGGACTCTTGCTGGGCAATGTGACAGGCACATTCCCACTGGTTAAGATCTTAACCAGGTATCTTAGTCTGTTTGTGCTGCTATAACAAAATACCATAGATCAGGTGGATTGGAAACAACAGAGATTAATTTTTTTCACAGTTTTGGAAGCTGGAAGTCCAAGGGCAGGACACTGGCAGCTTCCATGTCTGGTGAGGATCTGCTTCCTTGTTCATTGGTGCCACCTTCTCACTGTGTCCTCACACTATGGAAGGAGTGAATGAGCTTCCTTGAGCCTATTTTATGAGGACATCAATCCCATGCAGGAGGGCTCTGCCCTCCTGACCTAGTCACCTCGAAAAGGCCCCACCTTTAAATAGCATTACCTTGGGGGTTAGAATTTAACGTCCGAGTTTAGGGAGGACACAAATGTTCAAACCATGGCACCAGGCAAGAAACAAGTCAGTAGAAAAAAACAAGAGGTTCCCCAAGTAAGTAATGTTTCAAAAGGATAAATAGGATGTTTCCTTTCTTACCCCTCTAAAATAACTCTTAGCTTTCCAGGCAAAGAAAAGATAATGGTAGTATTAAAGATATGTAGGATCTTTTACTAATTAATATGAAAGCCCTTGTAATCAAATCCTGATTAACCTTTCCAAAAAGCTGTTAATTTGGTTTTGCCTCCAACACTATCAATAGATCTATGCTTCTTCTATTCATCTGAACACAGAGTTCTTCCTTACCCACAGAGAAAATTAGAGCCAATTAATATTTTTGCTTGAGATTCTCTTAATATTATCAGATGGAATGTGTATCTCAGGCTTAAAGTACTCATGTTTTATTGTTCATAAACACAGCAGAAAAGCGGAACACAATAGAAATTTCTCCACTTTAGAGCTGATCTCGGAGCCCAGGCACAACTCTCGGGACCGTGGTTGAGTCAGGTTAACTAAGAGCAGGAGTGGCTTTTGTGTTGAAGCAGATGAACTTTTTGGTTGCGATCAGAGCAGGCATTGTCCCGTCTGCTTAGGACATGTGAAAGGAAAAGTTGTAAAAGAGAAACAACCAGGTGCTGCCTTTCACAGGGTTGGGGACAAAGTTCTCTTGGGTGGCACAGTATGAATGAGCATCACTTAATAACTGAGGATGAGTCCTACTAAGAAATGATCATCCCAGCATTAGGCATCAGGATTCCCCCATGCTAACACTCCACGTGTGACGCAAAAACCTACTGCCATTAAGCAGTTATTCTAAGTGCATGGAGTATGTACTGATTGCAAGTGTTGGTAACAAAAGAACCCCAGTGAGAGCAGGATGGAATAGAGGATTTCAGTGCTGATGGAGATTAAATCGTCTGAGAATGGCTTTGTATATTAACTTCAGGGAACTCAGGTCTTGCCACCTAAAGAGTGACACCTGATGCCCCAATTGTAGGGTAATAAATCTTTAGTAAACCACAGATCTCAAGTAGGCTGCTTGGAAGGTGAGAAAAATCGTATCAAGCCTATAAATGGCTTCCTTTCTGGGGACTGAAATGCCATCTCTGGGCACTTATATTTATGTGAATAGAAGATTTAACACTTGAGACAATTGAAGTTTCATAAAATGATGAGTCCTTGGCCTTGTTGTTGTCAAAGCGCCCTGTGAAGTGTACTATTGTGATCTGCATTGTCAGCAGCAAAGGTAATAACGTGATTAAGATCAAGTGGTAACCCAGGATTTCAGATCTAGTACCCAAGAAATTTCTGAGAAGTAAGTATTTTCTTTTTTGGTGAAAATTAAGAGAGAAAAGTAGGGAAAGTACATTTAGATGGCAGCATCCTGGTTACTTCTCTAGTGAGTTAAAGGCTGAACAAATATTGAAAAGAATGACATTATCAGCATCAATTAATATTTTTAGGTCACAGTCAAGGGGGGCATTTTTGACCTTCACGAACAGTGCTGCCAGTCATAAAAAGAGCTGCTGTGTTCCATGACCACACCTATAACTTTGTAAAATAGCAATTATTTTCTGGATCCATTACAAGAAAGGATTTTCTTGGCGCTATGTATTTGCAGAGCCTTCCTGCCCACATTTCCCCAAGCAGCTCAATTTACTGCATGAAAGGAATACCTGGAATTTACCTGGAATACAGAAAATAAGTTTTCCCTTTTTTTGGAGCACCACAAGTAAAAATTTAAAGTATGTAGGAGCTAATCAGAGCCTGGCCAATCCCCTAGAAAGCTCAAATTCTCAAAAGAACAGCTTCTAAATTTCAAATTAGAAGCGTTATTTCTTAAAAATGTGATATAATAAGTAACACTGTATATTGCTGTTTTAAATTTAACAATCAACATTATCATTATAACGTGATTTCACTAGAAATAGAACACTGCTTAATATTATACACGAATAGGATGAGTCTTAGTGGTTGTATCAGAATGTATCAGAAACGAGAAATCAAAGCTGAACTCTTATCACAGTAATTTGATCATTCTTTCTAGCAAGCTAAAATAATCATTCATCCAATTGCTGCATTTTTCAGTTAATGTTTTATAGATATAAGCTAAAGAGATTTTTTAAATATATGTGTTCAGAAAGGAAGAAATATATTGCAGTTATATAACACACTGATGCATATGGTCATCCTATTGTTTTCAATAAGCATGTAATCATTCTTTGCAAAGGTCTCTTAACTCAGCCAGTTTTTCACAAAGTAATGAGTGCTTTATTCCTTGGAAAATATTTCTAAATGGCAATAGCACAATATAGTTACATAGTGTATCTATTATACCAGGAGTACATTTTGTTGTTAGGAGACTTTGAAAAGCATAAAGACTGTTCTGAAATTGAAATATTTCCCCCAGATGTTTGATTGCCTAAGCGCAGGCTATATTAAGGAACAGAAGCAAAACAACCCTTGTGGTTTCACAGATGTCCTATCACAGCACAGACTCTTTTATAATCCTCTGAATAAAATCTAATTTGTTTCATCTGGTGAAGAGGTCATTTCTAGCTTCTGACCAGCATGAGTAAAAAGATCTGATCATCTGAATTGTATTTAATATTAAATTTGTACTTGGTTTATAAAGCAAATTATTAGTGTTTTCTGGTTAAGATTTTTTAAAATATTCATGTTACTTAAAATAAGCTTATATATTGTGACGTAGATTCGCGTTTGTACTTTCTCCGTATCGCTGGAAGTAAAGCTTCCCCACCCCATCCCCCAAGTTGGCGACACTTTTAAGTCAAAGACTTAACTTTTAAAACTTAAACTTTTAAGCCAAAGACTTGTCCTTAATATAAAGCCTGTTCTAAGCTTTCTATTTCTTTCTAGGCTTATAATCCTAAATTTCCAGGAGGGATCACTCAGTTATTAACTCTCCAATGCCCTGAAATTAGGGAAAAAACAAAAACAAAAACAAAAAACCTCTACTTTTTCTGTATCTGCTTTCGGTTCTATGGTCAGCTTCCCAGTCCCCAATTTGAAAAACACTGATTTAAAATTTGTGAAGAGTGCCAGTCTTCTAATTTTACATTAACCAAAAATATCTCTCTAGAATTACCAGGAACACTGGTCTCAATATGAGAGTACAAAATCAAGCAGTGTACCAAGAGGGCAGCCTTCTGAAACAGTGAATGACCATCAGCCTTCCAGAAGACCAGCCAAGCCCAAGATTCGAAAACAGCATAAACACCAAAATGGCCTGAAGTCTTTCGCAGCGGAAGAGGTGACTGCCAGTCTGGAGAACCAGAATAACCCTCCCAGGCAGCAACAGAACCAAAATAAGTCTCTTGATACTTCACCAAAGCCTGAATCGATTGTGATTATGCACGCCTCTAACAATGATGCACAAGCTTCAAGGGCACTTAGGGGCCAGAATCTCAAAGAAACCTCCAATACATTTGCTCCACCAAAACAGGCTTTTGACAAGGTCTTATATAAAAACTCTACTGGATATGACTCTGGACTGAATGTTAATAAAGAAAGAGGACACAAAGACCAAGAAGAGAAAGGATTTTCCTACCAGCAGCTACACACCCTTTCTGACATGGATTTGAACAACCTTAATGAACTCTCTAAGAGACACGTGCTCCTGAGCCAGAAAGGCTCTCAGTTGGTTTATCACAGAAATGTTCATGGATCAACTGAAAATAAGAAACAACCCAAACAGCCTTACACAGAGACAAAATACAGGAACCTAGAAATGTTATGGTAAGAATTCCCTTTTCTCAAGTGGTTTTCTAGAGGAGAAAGGAGAGACCGCTGCAGAAAGACTGGAGAGGGAGAAGGGCAAGGGGAATCCATAAGGATGGCTGGGTGAGAAGAAGAGTTCACCTAACAACTTCCTTAGCTCTGATTCCTGCCTCCAAGAGTCCACTTTTTTTTTTTTTTTTTTTTTTAGAGTCTTGCTCTGTTGCCCAGGCCGGAGTGCAGTGGTGTGATCTTGGCTCATCACAACCTCCGCCTCCCAGGTTCAAGCAACTCTCCTGCCTCAGCCTCCCAAGTAGCTGGGATTACAGGCGTTCACCACCATACCGGGCTAATTTTTGTATTTTTAGTAGAGACGGGGTTTCACCATGTTGGCCAGGCTGGGCTCGAACACCTGACCTCAAGTGATCCACCCGCCTTGGCCTCCCAAAGTGCTGAGATTACAGGTGTGAGCCACAGCGCCCAGCCAAGAGTCTACTTTTGATGGATTTCTTTTCCTCTTCCCTGTCTCCTCTATTTTTCCCCTGTAGTTAAACTAGAAGTTGGAGGGAGACAAGGACAGAGGGACCCAGTCAAAAAACATCAGTGCTTTTTGAGGGCTGCAAGTAATGTTTGGAGGAAACAAATGATCTCCAACGTTATCTTGGCCTATCCTGAGAAAATAATCTAAAATACAGAAAAATGTGCACATACAAAAAAATCATCATTTGTAGAAGTGACCTAAAAATCCAACAATAGGGAATGTTTAGGTAAATTATGATATTTAGTATCGTGGAACCACTAAAAATTATGGTTATGAGGAAATGCTTCTATAGGAAGAAAATAGTAGGGTACAAAATTACACCTTGGGTTGAATAACACTGGTGGAAAAAAAATTACATCTAGGGAGTATGAGCTCTACTGTGTGAGTTCTACTGTGTTCAAATATGCACAGAAGAAGAAAAATTCACCAAAACATCAATAGTAGTTATCTCTAGCAAGAGAGATTGGAATTTTAAAAATTTATTCTTTATATTTTCAAAACAGTTCAAGTTCCCTACAATGTAAATGTGTAACTTCTATAAACAGGAGAATAAAAGTTATTTAAAATTATTCAGCACATTTTTGTGTACTTCATCAAATCCTTCTAATCCTACATGCTGAATATAATGCTACAGTGCTCAATGCTATACAAGATACAAAAGAAGTATGGTGTGTGAGGCGCCTTCAGGGAACTTACTTTCAAAGTAGGGAGAATTACTCCCTTGTGAATTGATCAAAGAACATTTAAGTGCTACACTTGGTGGTATGGAATGTAGATTCAATAAGACTTAAAGTTAGCTTCCTAGAAGAGATCATGATAAATAGCAGGCATCTTTGTCTTTTTTTTCCTCATTTTAGAAAGATCGTTTCTAACACTTTTACTATTAAAATTAATATTTAGTTTTTGGTAGATAGATAGATGATAGATGGAATTTCCTTTTCTTTGCATATTTAATAATGGTATTTATTTTTCAATTTTTTCTGCTTTTTGAATTTTCATTAATCTTTAATGTATGAATTGTTAAGATTTTTGATACACTATCTTTTATTCTAGGTTACCATTTTTATGATTTTTAATTGCTGGATTTGATGTTTAACTTTAATTTAATTTTCATATATGTGATTGGTTTATTTTCTATTGCATGCTTCACTGGTGATTATCAAAAATACAGCTTATAATGGTTGGACTTTTTTTTTTTCTTGAACTTTATACATTCTTATCTTTATTGAGTTTGATAGTTTTCCTCTAATATTGGGCTAATGGTTTCGTTTGGCTTTTTGTTGTTGTTTGTGAGCAGATTTTAAACTCCTGATGCATTTACTATAATCATTATAAGACTTTGCAGTCTTTTCATTTTCACTTTAGTCAGTTTAATAAGTTATATTTTTCTAGGAAATATTTTCCTTTTATGCTAAGTTTTAAAATGTACTGTCATAAAACTTTTTGTAGTATTTAAATAACTTTAATGTTATTCCACTTTTATTATATCTATAATCATGTCCCTCTTTTCATTTCTTTTTTTTTTTTAATCTTTTTGGCAACCTCAACCTCCTGGGCTGCTTCTGCTTAATTTTCTCTGTACGTATAGCTAATTGATCCTACACTTTTGAGTAGCCTCTTAGTGTAAGTTTCCATAAGGACAACTACATCTGGCAATTTCTCAATTCTTGTCTCCTTCTTGGAGCTCGACTTTCTAGACTGCTTTCTTTCTCGTTCTAGACTTGCTACGCAGCTGTCCTGCTGAGGATTCCCTTTGCCTTTCTTCTGATAGGATTCTCTTTTCAGTATCTCACATTTTCCTTAGTTTGTTTGAGCACCCCTTCCGGTGATTTTTTTCAGATTGAAAATGTGGTCTAAGGACAGGGGACAGGGTGATGGTCAGTTCTCAGCATGCCAGTGTCTTGTGCCACACTTGTTTTCTGACTGCATTCCGCTGTTGTTGTGCTCATATTATCCTTGAGAGTCTCCATGTCCTCATGGAGACTCTCTTCACTCTTCTCCTTCGTCACCCTTCCTGTTTTTTTACATCCCCGTTCTCTTTCTTAGTTTCCTGTCTAATTTTGGTAGAGAACATCCTCCACTGCTTGAGAAGTAAATGTTTTGAGATCTTGCTGAAATTATCTTTCTTCTGCCCTCGCCCCTGATTGGTAGCTTGGCAGAGGATTGTAGAATTCTTGATTGAAAATTGGCCGGGCACGGTGGCTCACGCCTGTAATCACAGCACTTTGGGAGGCCAAGGCGGGTGGATCACAAGGTCAGGAGTTTGAGACCAGCCTGGCCAAAACAGTGAAACCCCGTCTCTACTAAAAATACAAAAAATTAACCGGCCATGGTGGCAGGCACCTGTAATCCCAGCTACTCGGGAGGCTGAGGCAGGAGAATGGCATGAACCCGGGAGGTGGAGGTTGTGATGAGCCAAGATTATGATGTCACCCACTCCAGCCTGGGTGACAGAGCAAGACTCCGTCTCAAAAGAAAAAAAAAAAAAAAGAAAGAAAGAAAGAGAGAGAGAGAAAGAAAATCATTGTCCCTCAGAATTGCCTTCTTGCATCCAGTGTTGCTGTTGAGAAATCTGAAGCCACCATCGACCTTTATATATAACTTGTTTTGTTTTGTTTTGTTTTGTTTTCTGGAAGCTTTAGGATCTTTTCTTTTTCTCTACTGAAGTGAAATTTTATAATAATGTGCCTTCGTATAGGTCTATTTTCATAGATTAAGCTGGGGCTTTTAAACCTGAAAACACATGACCTTCAGTTCTGGGAAAATTTCTTGAGTCATCTTATGGGTAGTTCCATTCAACCATTTTCTGTTTGCTCTTTCTAGAAACTCCTATGATTCAGATGTGTTTTTCCAGGACTGTTATTATGATTTTGTTTTCTCTTTCCTTCTCCATTTCTTTGTAATTTTGTTCTACTGTCTGGGAGGGTTTCTCAGTCCTAGCTTCCAGTCTTTCTACTGCTATCATGTTTGTTAATTTCCGACAGGATTTTTTGTTGTTGTTTCTGTTATTGGTTTCTGAGTGTTCCTCTTTTTATAGCCTCATGTTTTTGTTCGTGGATGCAACATCCTTTTTTCTCAACATCTTCTTAGATTTTCAACAAGGCAAAATAGGCTGTAAGGGCCCTTGTGACTGAATTTTTCAGTGTTTTTAATTCCCCGCTTTGTTTCTCTTTCCTCTAGGTCTTTGTCAGTGATGTTTGTTTCTCTTCTCCTATTTTGCTGCCTTCCACCTTACGGCTTGTGTCAGATGTCTGGCAATGCTTGATCATCTTCTCATGATCAAGTATGAGGGACTAGAAAGCTTATTGGAAGCTCTGAGTGACAGTGCTTGTTGACTTGGAGTACCTATAGAATGATCTGTGGGGGCCATCTGATAGGAAGCTCCTCCTGTAAGTTTTAGGTCTTTTATCTTGGTGGTCAGATTTATTATCTGTGCTTGGTGCTTCACGGGCAGGAGACTCGTTGGCTTCTTCAGAATGAAAACCTCCAGTGAGCTGTGGAGAGAGGGAAGGGACAGTTGCCTAGGTGCACAAAATGGAGATTGTGATCTGGAGATCTGACTGGTTCTTCTTTCTTTTTTTCTGAGACAAGAGTCTCACTCTGTCGCCAGGCTGGAGTGCAGTGGCGCGATCTCAGCTCACTGCAACCTCTGCCTACCGGGTTCAAACGATTCTCCTGCCTCAGCCTCCCATGTAGCTGGGACTACAGGCACGCACCACCACGCCAAGCTAGTTTTTGTGTTTTTAGTAGAGACTGGGTTTCATCATGTTGGCCAGGATGGTCTCAATCTCTTGACCTCATGATCCACCCGCCTCGGCCTCCCAAAGTGCTGGGATTACAGGCATGAGCCACCACGCCCGGCCCCCTTTGAATATTATGTGTCTCAAATTTACTCTATTTTCTCCTGTAGGAACCCCAAATAGCTGTATATTAGATTGTCTATTCTAGACTTCATGCCTTTTAAACTGTTTTTAGTTTACACCTTTTATCTCTCAGTGCTTCTTTTTGAAAAATGTATTTAAATAAATTTTCCAGCATAATAAATCTCTCTTTACCTGTGTCCAAGATGTGCTTTTTAATGTATCCATTGAGTTTTAAATTTCAATGATGATATTTTCCATGTCCAGAATTTCTATTTGGTTCTAATTGAACCTCTCTGTTCTTTTTCCAAAATACAGGATTTTAAAATATGTCTCTTGGGTTCTTAACTTCTTTTTTCGTGTCTTTACTCATCTTAAACAACCTTATGAATGTTATCTAGGATCTCTCTATGTGAAGTTCTTGGAAGTCTACTATTGCTATTTGGATGTGTGTGCATGTGTGTCTGCTGACTCTCATACTTGACAGATTATTTCCTCTTCTGGGCAAGGACCTTGGATTGTGAACTCACATTTAGCCACCTTTCCTGTGGAAACCTAGGCAGGCTTGGGTGGGAGTGTATTTATCCAGAGAAGTTTTATATTTGCTTTTGCCAGATACTACAGAAGTATCCCTCATCCAAGATCATTTTTATGTTAGTTTCTTCGTGTTGGATTTCCATGATTGTGTGGGTAAGGTAAATTTGAAATCCAAATATTGTCCTATAGATACTCACAAGAGCTTGTTGTTGCTGTTGGGTTTTTGTGGGGAGTGGGGTTTGTTCTGTTTTTCTATTCAGAGCCCAGAGACCAAGACAGACAGACTTGCTTATTGTTTCTCATGGCTGGTGAATGGGTTTTTAATTAATGTGGCTTTTAACTGAGGATGAGGATGTAGCACCTCAAGTTATAGTCTTCTTACAACGATCTTAGTTCTGATTCCCTGCCTCACACAGCACCAAGATCTTGCATATCCTATACCAGCGTTAACTATTAAAACTCACGCCTGTAGACCCAAAACTCTTGTAAAGAAAGCTATAACTTCAGCTAATCTAAAATCTGCTTTGGTTTTTATTCCTTTTGTTCATTTTGGTCTTCGGAGATTTCTATTTATGTTACCAATTCAACTATGTATTTAAAGGATGTTTAATGTAATGCAACATTTCTAGGTATTTTGCAGTGGGAAGGTCTTTGAGTTTTCAAAATGGTGTTTTTCTATTCTGAATGCACTAAACAAAAGTTCTAAATAAAATGTAGACCATCCTAAAGGAAAAAGAGGAGGAGTTTAAGGTAAGTAAGAAATTAATGTAGTCATGAAAAGATTAAGCTAAATGCCATTAATTTGATTTGGGAGTGATAAATTCATCAAGTTAATGGTTCAGAAAGACTTTTATGCTAGAGGTCTTATGTATCCAGATTTTATTAATAGATTTGTGCTTTCTTTTTTCATTAAGGAAATTCCATTCTTCTTCTGACAGCCAGCCCGTTAGAGCTTCTCCAGATTCATGGCTCACCCAGATAATGGAGCAGCATCAGCAAGCCTTGGTGCAGCTGACCGACGTGCAGCCCAGTGAAGGGGCCTTATCCAGCGTCACGCTTCCACCTATACTGTCAAGGGTAGAAAGTGAATCCCAACTCAGTTCAGAGAGAAGCCAAAGAAACCAAGTGAATATTAGCCGTAGCAATTCTGAAGGCTATCTGTTTCAACTGGAAAAGGGAAAAAAGCATAAGAAAAGAAGCAGCAGTAAGGTAATAAAAGCACCATTTTACCAAGTAACCCTTCAATTTTGAGAATACAGATGGACCTTTATTTAATTATAGCCCTGGAACAGGGATGGTCATTACTGAGTTGCTGCCACACTGGCTGGCCCAGAGTCCTAAGGAGTTTCTTACTCCTGCCCCTGCTACTCCCTGGGGTTTCCCTCCCCTTCTTTCTAGAAGTTGTTGCTGCCAGGGATGCCCATTTCTCCCTCCTGTTCAAGTCATCTTGGCGAGAGGTCTCCACTTGCAGAGTGGCAAAACTCCTCCTTTCATCCCCAGCTGAAACATCCCTTCCTCAGAAAAGCTTCCATACTCCACCCCAAGCCCCATGCTAACCTGAGTCTTCATGGTTATTAAATCATTTCTTCCCAGCTCATTCTCATATCTTAAAAAGCAGAGAAAGTGGGGTTGAGTGAGTGAAAGCGCTTGTTGCCATTGCATTTTTCCCACCATCCGCCACCATGAGAACTCATCTTGGCCCTAATCTTACCCCAACTTCTGCAGTAAAATACGTGGGCTGGCCAGTGATTGAACTTTCCTCTCAAACGTTAGCTGACCTTTACTGAGTTCTTTGTCTCAAATCAATTCACCATTACTAGCATCTTGGTGCACTTAAATCTTTTCTCTTAGGGCCTACATGATTTAACAAGTAAAATGGGAGGCCCAAAGTAGAATGTTTTCAGTAAGAAATGAAGGAGCGTAGGAAGGAGGCTCTTTATGTCCTGTGTATTTCTCTTCTGTCACTGGCAATAAAAAGCCCTCAGGAAAGGTCACTTGCTTCCAGTGTCAAATAATAAGGAAAAAGCTAGAAAATGCATTATGTTTTACAGGCAACGGGGAAAGGCCTGGTTGAAAGCAATAAGCCTGTGGTGAGTTGGGTTTTCAGGGAACAGACTGAAATGGAGATTTGCATGCAGGAGGTCTATAGTGGAGCAACCTTGGGAACCTCCCCTTTAAGGGAGTGAGGGAAGCGGGGCTGGGCAGAGATGGGCTGTGATGCAGACACAGCAGTAGCCTTGGCCACGGTTCTGAGGGTTCTAAAGTTGGGATGGCCCTTCAAAGGCAAGGGGCCCAGGCTTTTGTTCTCCCATACCGACCTGCCATTGGATAGTGACTGCCCCTGGGGAAGGGTGGTGACTTTGGGCACAGCAGCTCCGCGTGACTGAGGCAGTTTTTAGGGAGGAACTCAGCTGTGAGCCATCAGCGGACAGCACTCCCAGCATCTGGGGAAATGAGTGCCTCAGTCCAGAAGGGCCTCCATTCTAGACAACTTGAGAGGAATTAAGCAAATGATTTCTAAGTTGAATTCAGTTTGTTATTAAATAATTTCTAGTCTGGGCGCGGTGGGTAACGCCTGTAATCCCAGCACTTTGGGAGGCCGAGGTGGGTGGATCACCTGAGGTCAGGAGTTCAAGACCAGCTTGGACAACATGGTGAAACTCCATCTCTACTAAAATACAAAAATTAGCCAGGCATGGTAGTGGGCGCCTGTAATCTCAGCTACTGGGGAGGCTGAGGCAGGAGAATCACTTGAACCTGGGAGATGGAGGTTGCAGTGAGCCGAGATTGCAGCATTTCACTCCAGTCTGGGTAACAAGAGTGAAACTCTGTCTCAATAATAATAATAATAATAATGATTTCTACTAGGAACTTGTAAGGTGCTGGGATGTAAAGATGAGCCATGACCCTTCCTCAGAAGAAGCTTCCAGTTGCATGGAACTTGGGAAGGCAGACATGTAAATGCTTATTATGTTGCAGTATAATGTTGCAAGCAAAAAACAAATAATGATATTAATTAATAATAAAAGTGGTAATAATAATGTAGGCACGCATGGGGAGCACAGAGGAACATAAAGGAAAACTGATATCCTGACCCGGGGGTCAGGCAAAGCGTCAGAAGATAATTCAGAACTAAGTCTTAGAGGGTGGTGAAGAATTGGCAAAGAAGACTGCAAGAGCAGACGGGGCGCAGTGGCTCACACCTGTAATCCCAGCACTTTGGGAGGCTGAGGCAGGTGGATCACAAGGTCAGGAGTTCGAGACCAGCCTTACCAATATGGTGAAACCCCATCCCTACTAAAAATACAAAAATTAACCGGGCGTGGTGGCAGGCGCCTGTAGTCCCAGCTACTCGGGAGGCTGAGGCAGGAGAATTGCTTGAACCCGGGAGGTGGAGCTTGCAGTGAGCCAAGATCACGCCACTGCACTCCAGCCTGGGTAACAGAGCGAGACTCCATCTCAAAAAAAAAAAAAAAAAAAAAACAGACTGCAAGAGCAATTCAGGCGGGAGTACCAGCACAAACAGAGGTGCTGAAGCTGTAACATGGTGCATGCTGGGGATGAGAGCATTTCAGGTTCTTGTGACTAAACCTGGGAGGCAAGGAGTGTTGAAAGATGGGAGCGGAGTGGTGGATAGGGGCCAGGTCTTAGAGGATCTCATTTTCCATTCAAAGAAGTACTTTATTCTGTAGGCCAGGGGGGATCATGGAGGACTTTTAAACATGGTTGGATTTGTATTTTAGAAAGGCAGCTCTGGCTATGGTGTGCAGGACAGATGTAAGACATCCCAGAAAGTGACGGGATTAGGAAGTCTGTGGATCCTCAAGTGGAGTCTTTAGAGAAAAAGATAAGGGGTGGCCTCAAAGAGAAGGGGAAGCTGGCCTGGAACAGGCAGCGAGAGGTACTAACGAGAAGAAAAGGAGGATGTCTTGGGGCTGAGATATGACCCCAGCCCAATCCTGCAGCTCCCATCTTGAGCCCGTCTGTGTACCGCGGGTCTTCAGCTCACAACCCTGGAGTTCTTACCCCAGCTCCCTCACATACCCGCTCCTGGGGGCTCTTTGAACTCCTCATTCCAACTTCACCCGCTCATGTCTTCCCCTCTACTGGGGACAGGACCCTATCCATGCCCACATTGTGGAATCCACAACTAGTAACTTGGAGCTGGGAGAATCCCTGGTTCTGCTGTAAATAAGAAGAAAGGTGTTTCTTGTTTCTTTTCTTTTTTTGATATAGAATCTCGTTTCATCGCCCAGGCTGGAATGCAGTGAAGCAATCTCAGCTCACTGCCACCTCCACCTCCTGAGTTCAAGTGATTCTCCTGCTTCAGCTTCCTGAGTAGCTGAGATTACAGGCACGTGCCACCACACCCGGCTGATTTTTGTATTTTTAGTAGAGATGGGGTTTCACCATGTTGGCCAGGCTGGTCTCGAACTCCTGACCTCAGATGATCCACCTGCCTTGGCCTCCCAAATTGCTGGAATTATAGGTGTGAGCCACTGCGCCCAGCCACAAATGTGTTTTTTAAATCACGGGTAACTTCTTTTTCCACAGAAACATCATTACATGGTAGTTAGGCTGTCAGGTATTAGTACTGTTTTCAAGAGTTTTGTGACTAAAGTAGGTTTTGAAGACTTGACTAGGAAGCTGCACATCATCCATATTATTTCTGTAGGGACATGTATTCAGAACACATTTTCGAGGTGAGGACAGCTTGTTCACTGCAGTACATATAGATTACCAGGGCCTAAATTTAGCTCAAACACACTAGCTCACAAGGGAATCTTCTAGGTTAGGGTTCTTGCCAATGATGGGTTGTTTCTGAAAATGCAAGCTTTTGAACTCAATTCTCACTCGGCAAGATTTAGAGGAAGCCATGGACCCATTCATTCCTAGGTTCTCATCTCTGTTCCCAATATCTCTTATGACTTGGACGAGTTATTAATGCACCTGAGCCCTCTTTTCTTCATCTGCAGAATTATTCTTTCTTTTTGTAGATTTGGTGTGATATTAAGTGAAATAATGTATTAAAACCATAGCTTAGTCCCTAGCAAAGAAGAGACATCAACTAAATGTTAGTTTCCTTTCCCTTTCCCCTTCTTTTAGTTGATTGAATTTATGTTTCACTGAGAAAAATAGAGGAAAGTTCTCCGACGACAGTGTGTGTCACCAGAAATCTAAGCGCTTGGGAGGTCAGGGGAGAGGAAGGAAAATTTGCAGTTGCTGCCTTCCCAGCCATCTTTCCAACTGGGAACATCCCCCTTCCTGCTTTCTATCAGGAATGTTACAATCTATATATCCATTTTCTCAATCCAGCACCTTCAGCTTACATCTGACAAATTCACAGAAGTGCTCTTTGTCCTTTAAGATATTCCAGAAGCTAAAATGACTTAGAAATGAGCTATTTGTATAGGACAGCAGGTAGTCGAGGCACCAGACAGAGGGGATCATTATCCAGGTCATGGCCATTTGCTGGTCACATCAAATCTTTTGGTTTCCAAGGGAATTGCCCTGAATCACATTAAAACTTTGAGGATTTGTAAAGATAATAGGCCCAAGCACCTTTCCTCTTCTCCTGACAGTTCTGTTGTAACTGAGTTCTGAATGCCAGGCATTGTCCATGCCATGAAATCTAGACATCAGGCAGTCAGGGATCAACGGATGACAAACGGCATAAAAATATCTGTCGCAACCCACCACGAAATGACTGCTTCAGGAGTTTGCTGATAGCTAACTCTGCTGAGCTGAAGTAATTAACTCATGTGTTGGTGTCACAGACAATTTGGGCATTGCTGCTTGACTGCTTCTAAGAAGGGGTTTATTTGGATTAAGTTTAGCAACTGCAGAGCAAATTTCCTTCACTTGCTGTTCCACAGTATTTGAGGCATTGTTTTTTGTCGTGTTTTTCAGTAACTTTCTCACACTTACACATCTGAGGAATTTTCTGGAGAATAGCTCTGCAGTGGCCCCCCAGCAGGGAACCACCTTTCAGAGCTGAAACAGGTCCTGACAGGAACAGTCAATGTCATTGCCAAACAGGGCACACTGTGTCCCAAGTTTGCAACTAAAAACTCTGCTGTCTTGAGAAGAACTGTGGTTAATTCCTGGTACAAACGTTGCATCAGGAAAGTCCTATGCCATCGTCCACTAAAGCGATCAAGTGTGAACACCAGTGCAGAGGGGCTGGTCTGGCCTTAACAATCCTCAGATGGTGCCAGACTCGGTCGATGCCAGCTCGTGTACGTCTTATGCAAAGACCAGCAGCAAATCTCATCAGGGATTGGTTGAGAGCATGCCTGCATTTTCCAATTTGTTCCCGTTGTGTTTGGAGACCTAACAAGACTATCATTGTTGATTTACTTTTTTTTTTTTTTTTAATATTGTGCTACTATGACCTTTTAGTCTTGTAACAGCCATGGAGAGATAAATCAAAGTGAATTCTGGGGGATTATTTTTACTATAAAAGACTTTTGAGGAGCCAGAAAGTAGATTAGTGGTTGCCTAGGGCTGGAGGTGGAGGGGGCAAAGGGAGTGACTGCTAATGGGGACAGGATTTCTTTTCAGGGTGATGAAAATGTTCTAACATTGGAATGTGGTGATGTTTACACAACTTGGTGAATATACTGAAAACCATTGTATTGTACAACTTCAAGTGGGTAAATTTTGTGGTATGTGAATTATATCTCTATAAGCTGCTAAAAAGACTTTTGATGGAGAGAGATCAAACAAAATTGCACCTCTGAGAACAAATCAAGATTACTTGCGCCAACCTTAAGTAAATCCAAGATTTTTCATTGCCAGTCACCCAGAACAAACTCCTTTAGGAGCCATCACCATCCCTTGAGAAAAGTCCCTTTGCTATAAGCACTTCATCCATCTTGTAAAGGGATCAGCAGCACTTGGAGATCACCCTTTGGGCGACACTCTGGCCCTTCATATCGAGGTGTAGTACTAGACCCTGGCTCTGTTTTTCTGTGATAGCCAACATGTTTATTGTAGGTGATAGTAAGAACTGTGGCTGGAGAGCACTGGGCAATTATTCATGCTTCACAATGTGTCTTTTGTAAGTCAGTGGAATGATTAGAAGTTAAGCTGCTTCAGACTTAGGATGTGATTTGTGAGCACTGATCATTTCTTTCTCATCACCTTTGGACAAATTGGATTTACGACTTGGACATGAGCAGGCGTTTTTTCCTTCCTTTTAATTATTGGTTTACTTTGGCAAATAGATAGTAATTCAGTGACTGCAAAACAACCATACAGATGGCATATGTAAGAGAAAGAACAAATTTTCATTTGTGAAATGTACGTTGTCTGAGTTCATTCACCCACTGAAAATTGGTAAAGGTTTTAAAATGTGATAATACCCAGTATAATCAAGGTTTGGATGAAAAGAGCGATCTTATGGCTCCATTGCTAATTAATTGATGGCCTTAAACATATTCATTTTATTTCAATAATTCTACTGCTATTAACTTATCTCAAAGAAATAATCAAAGTATCCCAGAAAAACAATGCTTAACCTAGGACAGCTTAAATGTTCCACATTTAGAGGAATAAACAGTCCAACAAAACTAGATGATAGAATGTTATGCATAAAACTCACATTAAAAAATATATATACTGACAGAAAAATGTACTGTAGTACTAAAATACTTAGAAAAAATAAGAATTTGGGCTGGACGTGGTGGCACACCCCTGTAATCCCAGTACTTTGGGAGGCCCAGGCTGGTGGATCACCTGAGGTCAGGAGTTTGAGACCAGCCTGGCCAACATGGTGAAACACTGCCTCTACTAAAAATACAAAAATTAGCCAGACATGGTGGCGGGCGCCTGTAATCCCAGCTACTTGGGAGGCTGAGGCAGGAGAATCGCTGGAAACCGGGAGGTGGAGGTTGCAGTGAGCCAAGATCGCACCATTGTACTCTAGCCTGGATGACAGAGTGACACTCCATCTCAAAAAAAAAAAAAGAAAGAAAAAAGAAATGAAATGAAAAAAATAAGAATTCATAGTGAATGGACAATTGTATAAAAGTATGAACAGACAGATATAATGGACAGGCAGCAGCTCTCGTGGTTGTGCTGAGTGGTGACTTCTGTTTTCTGAAAGGAGATGTATGACTTTGAAATACCCTTCAATGAACAATGTGTCTTCTGCATACTTTAATGTTACTAATTTTTTTATGATTTTAGTCCAAAGCCTTCCTTAAGAATATTGTTTCACTTTTTAGAATTAGAATTAGAGTATTGACTATAAATGTTTAACATTCTAATGGGGCAAATTCTATTTACAGAACTTGGAATCCTTGCAGTGTAGAAGTGTTGCCCATATAGTGCATCATTTTGGCCCTTTTAAATTATTAATGCAACATGAAAGTGCTGAGATGTTAGGAATATTGCCTTCAGTGGGCAAGTAACACAATTACCATTTACAGTGATTTCTGAAATATGAGTTCATTCTTCTTACATACAAATTAATCCACAAGTAGGTGATTGCTAGCACTGGTGGTTCCACAGCTCAGAACATCAGAACCAGTATTGTGATTCTCTTTTTTCCCTGGCTACAAAATTGCTGCTGCAGCTCCAGCTCCAGGAATCACATCCTTATTTGAGCCAAGAAAAAAGGAAGGGGAAGGGGCTACCACAGCCTTAAAGCTTTCCAAAATATACACTGTACCCAACGAACTTTTGCTTAGACTTCATGGGCAAGAGCTCAGTGCTGAGGAGTCAGTGCTGGAGAATGTTTGTCTTTTGAACATCGACAGTGGGAAGTGGCAGTGGAGAAGTGAATTGGAATGACTCTGGGTACTCAGTAGACCACAGTGAGCAGGACATGGTTGATACAGTGTGTTTATACAAGTTCATTTTTAAGATTGGAGAGTTATATGCAATAATTATATCTAATATGAGAAAATGTCCTATATTAAGTCTCTGGACTATCTCTGCTAAGTTTTGTCTTAGAAAAGGGCAAGTTAGATGTATATCTTAGGACTTAATAATTAACAGGAGCGCAGCTGGTCGCGGTGGCTCAGACCTGTAATCTCAGCACTTTGGGAGGCCGAGGTGGCTGGATCACTTGAGGCCAGGAGTTTGAAACCAGCTTGGCCAACGTGGTGAAACCCCGTCTCTACCAAAAGTACAAAAATTAGACAGTCTCATAACCTGGCCTCAAACTAAATAAATAGATAAAATTTTTAAAATGGAATAATTAACAGGAGATTTCAAAATTGATAAAAATTCTGTGCTTTGTCATTAACGTATAGACAGGGACTAACATCCAGTTAGGTACACGACAGCTGCTTCTTCAATGTGGTGGATTTTTCTCCATTTTAAGCAGTAACTTACATGTGCCTTAATAAACTACTGTCATCCAACCACCTCTTATATATTGTCTTTCCCATCCTTCCCAAAAAGGAAGCCAAATTAATTAACAAACTGAAATTTCAAAAGGATGTGAGTTCCCTGTAAGGGGAAGTAGCGAGTCTAAACTTCAGGGGATTTTTTGTGTTTTTTTTGTGTTTTTTGTTTTTTTTTTTTCCTTAAAACAGAGTCTCGCTCTGTCAACCCAGGCTGGAGTGCAGTGGTGCGATCTCGGCTCACTGCAACCTCCGCCTCCCAGGTTCAAGCGATTCTCCTGCCTCAGCCCCCCAAGTAGCTGGGATTACAGGTGCCTGCCACCACACCTGCCTAATTTTTGTATTTTTAGTAGGGACAGGGTTTCACCCTGGCCAGGCTGGTCTCGAACTTCTAACCTCAGGTGATCTGCTCACTTCAGCCTCCCAAAGTGCTGGTATTACAGGCATGAGTCACCATGCCCAGCCTAAACTTCAGTTTTAATTTTGAAAGCAGTGGTTTGGGGGATATCTTAATCTATCAGGGGATAGACAGGCAGTAGAATATTAGGGTTTTTTCCTGCCTATTATTGTGCTCAGGTGCCATGATCTAATCAGTCAGTTGTCTCACTTTCTTGCTGTCCATCCTTTTAAATAGGCAATACTAATAAGAGTTGTCATATTAAATTCTGTGTGCCCTTCAACATATCTGAAATCACACTGACTGAACAAAATGAGTTTCTTAGTGAGTCTTGCCAAGACTCTCAAATGCTTACTTTTCTTTTGAATATTATAAATGGATTATAATTGTTTTTCCCTTAAAATTCTCTTTTTCCCCCAATAATCAATAGCAAAACTTGAAAGGTTGGTACCTTCTTCTCTTCTGGAGTGTCTCCAACAGATAATGCTGTGACATCACTGGACAGGGTATTCTCTTTTTGAAGCACTGTGTTTATCTGATGCGTTTCGATGCTTTCTTCCAGGGAAGTTATTTGGCTCAGCAAACTGTCTAAGACTGGACAAAATGGTAATAGGAGCAGTGGCAAAGTAATAACATATATGTTGTGTTAAAAACGTTAATAGCAAGGGCCAGGTGAAGTGGCTAACATCTGTAATCCCAGCGACTCAAGAGGCTGAGGTGGGAGGATCACTTAAGCTCAGGAGTTCAAGCCCAGGAGTTCAAGACCAGCCTGGGCAACATAGCAAAATCAGGTATCTCCAAAAAAATTAAAATAAAAAACATTCATAAGAAAACAGGACATCACTAGCTTGAAAACTTTTATTTGTAATTTCAGAATTTCAAGTTTCTTTATTGCAGAAGTGGAAAAGTGAAAATATGTTAGCTAACCAGCTACAAATTACCAAAGAGACTATCACCAATAACTACCACTAAAATGGAAGAATTGTCTGGAAATGCAGCCATTCTCTGACAGTGCACACAGGCTTTCATTATTTTCCTTCTTACTTGATGTGGCTATGACACCTTTCGGAGTGGTAGGAGTAGGGGGACACACAAGTCCTTAAAACAAACTGTTTCTGTGGTTGTATTTTTAGAACACCAAGCTGAAAGGTTATCAGAAAAGAGACGTGAAGCTTGGAGGCCTCGGACCTGACTTTGAGTCCATCAGAGACAAAGTGAGTGAGATGCACATACAGTGTTTCCAGACCTGACTCAGCCCATCTGTCTGTTAGGAAACTTTATGAAGATGCCCCCCCAGAATTAAGCCTTAATTCAAATGTCTCACTCTGAATAGAGACCCTTCCGAAATAACATTGGTATAGAGACCCGGACATGCCTCTTGCCTTAAAATAAAAATATGTAGCCCATGTTGTTATATGTATCTGTCTTTCGGTTAGTTTTGAAGGCCTGCATGGCACAGTGGGACCCGTGCACATGAAAATAAATGTGTATGTTACGTGGTCGTTGGTCTTTCCCACTAGAGTTATCTTGATAATCGTGAAGAGTGGCTACAGAGAAGACACTTAGAGGAAGAGTTTCCCAACCCCTGAAAAGTGCATCCACTTTATTCTCTTTCCTCTAGTGAAAGGAGATCTTCATTTAATGTGTTTTAACTGCAGTTGCACTCAAGGCATAAAAAGAGAGTATAGTTCAAAGTTGGAAGCAAAAATGAAAATAAATTGGGTAAATGCAACAAAGAAGGTTCTGAATGTGATTTAGCCCCTGTTAAGGGCATACTGGGCGTGCTATTGCAGTGAGGTGCCTCCTCACAGAGAGACTATTTCAAGGAGAAACAATTAACTTAACCGTTTCACTGCTACCACCTTACTCTAGGTGATCCCATTTCTCCTCTACAGCTGGTAAGATATGCCCAGTATACCAAAACCAGGGCATCGCTTTAAATAGAGAGCAGAGAGGAGTAGCAGCACCTGGATTCATCATAACTTTGTTTCTCTGAACAGACGCAAAAATTAATACACCAAAAGGAATATGCAAAACAAGTCAAGGAGTACAACATGAAGACACTATCTGTTCTATCAAAACCACAAACAGAAAAAGCTCAAAATAAATCTGCTATCCCTCGGCAGAAGGTAAGAAATTCTCAACAAGGCATTTATATTTTCAATCAGAATTAAAAGGAAACTTTTATTACCGCTCTTTTTTTTTTTTTTTTTTTTGATTAGCAACAGGGTCTTGCTGTCTTGCCCAGGATGGTCATAAACTCCTGGGCTCAAGCTGTCCTCCCAACTAAGCCCAAAGTGCTGGGATTACAGGCAGAGCCAACACACCCAACCTGTTTTCTTGTAACTTAAGAAAAACCTGCCCATGTTTTTTGGAACACAGGAGATGTTTTAACTACTTCCATTCCTGTAGCTACCCATCATTCACAAATAGCAATGCAATAGTCACACGCACACACACACACGCACACACACACACGCACACACACGATGCTGTAAAGTTAACCTTTATTTTTTCCTGAAGTGATTGTCTCCACGTCTTTTCTTCCAAGAACAGTATTTTAAATTTGTCACACATAAAAATTAAATAATCATGTGATTTCTTAAATGAGCAAGCTTCATCATCAATTTTATTTTGTATCATTAAATAAACTTTAAGGCAGTTGTTGTCTTCTTGCTGCTTATATGTCAAAGAAAAGACACATAATCATTGTTTCTCTCAACTTCATTCCCCTACACTTTCCGTAAGGATTGTAGTATATAAGTTCCTCTATTGAAGAAAAATGATTTCATGGAATACAGAATGTTCTCCCTCTCAGATGGCATCAACCATCAGTCATGATGTGAATGAAATATGTACACAGAGCTTTGCAGTACAAGTCTCTGCCTCAATTGATCTCTCCAGTCCCTGTAAGGACACGGGACCCTTTGCACGAGGAACAAGAGATCCTTTGGTGCCTGCAGGAATTTGTACTTCATGTTCTCTTTCACAGACCATCATATTTTCTATTTATTGCCTTTCTTCCTCAGACCTTGAAGACCTCAATCCACTTGGTTGAGTTTCTATGGTGCTACTTTTTCTTTTTTCTCTAATCCCTTATTTTTTCATGAAGTGTTTCAAGGCAACAAACCTATAATTAGAAATATCTGTAACCTTCACCTACATGCACTGAGAAGTCTAGACTTTTCCTTTCTACATTTTAGAGGTTTTTTCCCCCTCTTGCAGGACTGAAAGCGTACAATCCATTTGTATTTCAGCTATCAACAATCTCTTACTAAAATGCAAAACTGTTATAAAGGCAGGTTTAGAAATCCTATTTAGTGATCTCATTTTTATTGTAATGCCTTTCATAACTGACATCACTGAGAAAAAGACTGTGTTTTTCAGCATCTAGATTGCTATAGAAAGGAAAAAAATTCAACCTCAAATACTTTCTAGATCCTAGGAACAAGAATATCTGGTATAATGATGGGAGCTCAAGTGTATGTAAACTACAGTGATGTCTTTGGTCTCAAGCTGTAACAAGTCTTCTTTGGATAGAAAGGTCTATTAATATCTCCTTAATAGAAGTTTGGTTTTACTAAGACTTCCAGAAACTAAGTAGACCAAACACATAAGAAGGAACACTTGAAGGAAACTCAGTTTTATGACAAAAGCATCCAAAGAACACAACTGTATGTATTATTCTTCAACTCCTTTTTTTCCACAATATATTGTTTTGGGGCTAATATATTTTGTTTAAACTGTGTGTTATATTGCATTATTTGATCTCCATTTCCACCAATGTCTTAGTAAGTTATAGTGATTTTTCTCCATTTATATTATGAACAAACATTTCCTAGATTTTATTTAAGGAATCCAGGCTCACTTGGCATTTCAAATAAAATTTCATCTTTATGCGTTTAGGCTTTGGAATACGCTAAGACCATCCCCAAACCCAAACCATCAAATCTGACTCATCAAGCATCAAAGGAACAAAAAAACCCAACCTATGCTGGGAAAGAAGAAAGTTTACCTGAAATCTCACTGCTGGAAATACTACAGAACAGACACGAAAGGGAAAAACAGGCTGTGGCTGCTTTCAAAATCCTTCACATCGTATAGACAACATTTGATAGGAAGGAGACCAAAATTGGTCCAGGAATGGACGTGGAGAAAAGAAATGCCACCCACCTTCTCTGCGTTGAGAGTAATGGCTTATTATTATCATCTATCTGCAGTCCATGCTTGCTTTCTGCAGGATTTAAAATATGAGGCCCAATTGGATTATGGTGCCATATTTTACTTTCTAGGAAGAAAATTTTTTTAATTATTTATTTTCAAATCAGTTAGAATTGGAGCTGAATAATAACTAGAGAATAAAGCTTTTGGTTTTATATTGATCTTTTGATTTCTTAATCTCTACCCCATTCCTTAGCGTAATGGAAACCTTAAAGTTACCCAGAAATAAATGTAGCTGTGTTTCTCTCTTACCTTCCTAGTAAGAAAAACAAGTGTAAACACTTCAGTTTCTCCTAAAATGAACTCAGTCATCCGTAAATTTTGTGATAACATTTCAAAATGTTACTAAAATCTCCAAGTTTGGCAAAGGGCTTATATATATATATAAGTTGAGGCCGGGCCCAGTGGCTCACGCCTGTAATCCCAGGACTTTGAGAAGCTGAGGCAGGTGAATTGCTTGAGGCCAGGAGTTTGAGACCAGCCTGGGCAACATGGTGAAACCCCATCTCTACTAAAAATACAAAAATTAGCTAGGCGTGTTGGTGCATGTCTATAGTCCCAGGTACTCAGAAGGCTGAGGCACGAGAATCGCTTGAACCCAGGAGGCGGAGGTCACAGTGAGCCGAGATTGTGCCACTCCACTCCAGCCTGGGCAACAGATCAAGACTCTGTCTCAACAACAGCAACAAAAGGTTCCTGCCCTGACACATTCTCTGGTCGGGGTCTCAGGGATGTGAAGACAGCTGGCTGCCTGTGTCTTCGCCGACCATGCTGTCCTGGGTGGCACTTTCTGCCACTGCCACAGTGGCCCCCTCTCTGTAGAATGCAGTTTTCCTAGGTCCAGGAGTATTGCAGGCGACAAGGACCTTTCACACAGGGCAGCGACTCCTTGCCCCTCTACCCCCTCTTCCTTCCTTTTCCTATAGAGGAAAAGTTCATTTGGGGCTGATCCCTGAGGAATTCTTCCAATTTCTTTATCCTAAAAGCAGTGTAACAGGACACTATGTGCCCTAAAATGGGCTTATCTTGTATGCTTTATCCAAAGAAATATACATGATTACCACAGAGACCTTCTCTACTATATCAATAGTAGGGTTACTTTCTGTAATTTAAAAATATGGTGCCTCTATTGGAGAATCTGCTTATAAACTCAATGAGCAAGACACTGCCCAAACTAGAAGAGGTGAAGCAGGCTTCCATCAAACAAATCCAGGATGCAATTGATTTGGAGAAGTCACAGTGCTCACTGGTTCAGAAGCGCCATTACCTTTTTGATGTGCAGAGGAATAACATTGCTATGGCTTTGAAGGTTACTTACTGGGAATGACTGCATAGAGTGTATAAGGAAGTAAAGAATCACCTGGACTATCATATATCTGTGCAGAACATGATGCGTTGAAAGGAACAAGAGCGCGTGATAAATTGGGTGGAGAAGCACGTGGTGCAGAGCATCTCTGCACAGCAGGAAAAGGAGACAATTGCCAAGTGCATTTGGGACCTAAAGCTGTTGGCAAAGAAGGTTCATGCACAGCCAGTTATGTAAATGTATCTATCCCAATTGAGACAGCCAGAAACAGTTGACTGACTAATGGAAACTAGTCTATGTGGCGAAATCTTTCTCTATTGCCCTCTACTGAAGTAGATAGTTTCTATCTCCTAAAAATGAAACATTTGTTCACTATACTGAGAGAACTCAATCTGTTGGCCGGTCAGATGTTTCCCATCCTTCTTACTGGGCATTTGAGTTGTTCCATGATCACTTTTTTTATTGTTTTTTGTTGTTGTTGTTGTTGTTGTTGTTGTTTTTAGACGGACTCCCGCTCTGTCGCCCAGGCTGGAGTGCAGTGGCACAATCTCGGCTCAGTGCAAACTCTGCCTCCTGGATTCAAGCGATTCTCCTGTCTCAGCCTCCTGAATAGCTGGGATTGCAGGCGTGCACTACCACGTCTGGCTAATTTTTATACTTTTGGTAGAGACAGGGTTTCGCCATGTTGATCAGGCTGGTCTCGAGCTCCTGATCTCAGGTGATCCACCCACCTTGGCCTTCCAAAGTGCTGGGATTACAGGCGTTAGCTACTACGCCTGGCCCTATGATCGCTTTTGAATAAGCGGTTTGCCTTTATTAAATCTTGGTGCCTGACTAAAGATTACCAGGTTATAGTTTAAATTTGTAATTAATTTTACCATCTTGCAATAAAGTGACAATTGAATGAAACACAAATAAGTAAAGAAATAAAGTTGAAAAAAATGAAGGTACATCTGGTTGTGCCTGCTCAGATGGAACAAATCCTAATGTTGTTCTAGGAGAGCATCAAGACGTTAGTTAGAAACCCTCCAACAAGTCCAGAAACACCTGATGCAGGCACCTCTGAGAGACACACTTTATCAAAGCTCCTTACTCCAAGTACATAAATTTGCTGGCCATCTTACCATCACAGATATCTTAAAATATTGTCAAATGTGTGTTTTCACACACACACACAAATAGATAAGACAAAAGCATTCCATAGTTTACTACTGAATACAAATGTCAATAAATATTTTTTAGTTTTTTAACCTTTTTTAATATTGCAAGAATTCCCAGTCTTAAAATAATTACTGGAGGGTTTAATTTTTTTACTTTCTTCCTTATATTAGATGGACATTACATTTTTAGATAGGCATATTCAGAAGTGGATATTTTGAACATCAATTTGGGGCAAATCTGTTTATCTATACGTGTATTGTAAGGACTGCTTTGGAAATTTACTCCTATGTTGTATATATTTTACATGTACTGGAATGTAGCGTAAAAGGTGCCCATACGAAACCTTCTCTTAAAACTGTAAGCAGTTAGAATTGAGAGTCTGCAAAGTAACAAGTATCTGAAGATAAACAGAAAACTGGTGAATCATGTTTCAGTGAGATTTGGAAAATGTAATATATGAGGCATTAGACTCAGGAAAATCACAGGCCAAAATGCTCCTAAAATGTATTTGTAAGAGAAGAGGCCCTTTCTGGGTGCAGGAAGACATTTCTAGAAATATGAGGTAGAATGAATAACCTTCATTAATTGTTTCCGAAATGGCCTTAAATTCTAACTTCATCTGGAAGAGAAAAAGAATGCATATAGAGACATTCGTATTTAAAGGGACAGGGTAAAAATTTTTAAATATTCCATTTGTATTAGAATATCTTAAAAGAATTTAGAGCTTGGAAAGAGTTTATCACATTCAACTGCCAGTTTTTCAGAAGAGGAAATGGAGGTGAAGAGAAAGGCTACATGACTCAGAAGTCCATCAGTCCTACTGAGAGTAATGGGAGGGTAGCCAGGTCTGAATCTCCCATCCTTCAACACCAGGAACAGTACTGTTTATTTGTCGATGGAAGGAGGTTGTCCTTGTTTCTCTGTGTGGACAAGCAACATATAGTTGCTATGAATTTCTATTTTGGACCTGAATTTCCACCAAGTTCAGTTTTTAGAAATATGCATTACTATGTACCTAATACTTTTTTAGCATGTACAATCTGCCAACTCTTTACTACATTGATAAAATTAGAATACACATATAAAGCAACTCAAACTTAGAAAATGACCAATAAAAGAGACACTATTTATTTTCTTTTTTTTTCCAGAACATTTCAAAAACTTCCCAAACTGTTTTTCTGTTAGCTTAATCATTGTTAAATCCTTCACTTTCACACCTACTGTCAAGAACCTAAACTTAGCTGAAGCAGCTTAAGTGATTCAGTTCCCGTCAAACAACATTCAACAGGATTCTTACCTCCCAGGCAACTCTTTACTATCCAGTACATAAGACTCAAGGACAATAAAATTCTTTATATAGTGCCATGTGGCATCTAAAATAACTTTGGCTAGGAAATAAAACATATTTGCTGAAAGTTTGGGGTTGAAATCAAAGAATGGATCAAAGTGGCCCTTCATTTGGCTCCACGTCATCTCACAATAGTGAAATATAGCAGAATGTCACTGAACTACCATAATACTAAGGGGAGACATTTTGCAAAAACAGGGAATGACAAACACGTTTTTTGCTCCTGTTTTAAAGTAAATTGTACTAATGACAACAATAGTGATCTTTTATAGGCCCAAATTGGATCAGTGATCAATTTTGTAGCATTTCTGTTTCAAATATTCAAAAACAAAAAATAATCGAATTAGAAAACAAAAAACTTCAAACTTAAGTGATGTAATGATGGCGCCCCTGTATTTGACTAGATGTTATATACATGCCATTGAAAGACACAGTACCCAATCTGCCTAATGTCTATAAACTGGTGCAAATAAAGGACATTTAAACCATGTATTCTCTCTTATTAAAGCCTCCTTTTAATTGTGTTTTTCCATCTTGAGTTTCCAACAAGAGCATCCTCTTAAAGGGAGCTTTTTTTTTTACAAGTAGCTGAATTTAATGACAGCTGTCTTCCTGATATTGTTTTGTATAGTAAGGAGTCTCTTGGGAGTTATCCAGAAACCAAGTCAAGAAAAGACAATGTTGAGGAACAAAATAAAAGGTAAGCCTAGCAGAGGCACTGATGCCTAATGGTTCCAATTGGGGCCTTATTATTGGTTAATGAATCATTGTCAAAACATCACAGCAAGCGTGAACGTGCACAGTCTAGTCTATAGTGAGAAAATGACTCTTCATCCCAACAGTTATTAACTGGGAGTTGTTTGAAAACACGTCCGGTAATTATAACAACACTGGAGCTAATTGAGAACTTTGTGTTGATAGCAAATGGCCCGCAATAGCAGACTAGATAACTCAAGGGGGATTCTTCTTTAATTACTTATTGAAAAATAGCAGAAAATGAATTGGATGTGGGCGATAGTCTGCAGATATCAAGACAAGTTTCGCTAATTCTATCCCAAGATGTGCTTCAAAATGTATCTGTTACCATTATATTAGAAGTAGCATTTGAAAATGTGAAGTTCCTAAGTAAAAATCAGTGTTGCTTTCCTAAATATGCCTTTTTTAATATTACCTTTTCCTAGTTGGGCGCAGTGGCTCACTCCTGTAATCCCAGCACTTTGGGAAACTGAGGCGGGTGGATCACAAGGTCAGGAGATTGAGACCATTCTGGCTAACACAGTGAAACCTCGTCTCTACTAAAAGTACAAAAAAACTAGCCAGGTGTGGTGGCGGCGCCTGTAGTCCCAGCTACTTGGGAGGCTGAGGCAGGAGAATGGTGTGAACCCTGGAGGTGGAGCTTGCAGTGAGCCGAGATGGCGCCACTGCACTCCAGCCTGGGCAACAAAGCGAGACTCCGTCTCAAAAAAAAAAAAGATTACCTTTTCCTGTTAGAGTAAGAATCAGACTTGAATAATATACATTTCATTCTAACAGTGAAGTATTCATAGGACAACTATAGGAATTCTCCTCCCTAATGCTAACTGTGTTTCCACAATTTCTATTCCTAATGGGTAAAAAACAAGGAGACACAAAGATACAGAAATGCTCCATTTGCCTCTTTAGTTGTTTTCCCAGTCAGGAAAGGATTTAAAAGTGTAGCATGAAGTGAAATTTTTGAATGACTGTGGATTTTGTTTATCCATTGTGCTTGTTCTCCCTACGTCAGTGATGATAAGATATTGCCAAAATAATATTATTCCCATACTATAAAGGCAAAATAAAAGCAAGGACGTATGTTCTAATAAAAAGTTATATTTAGATGCTTATTCCACTTTTTGAAATATATTGAAGCAGGGTCCCAGAAGCTGAAAATCTGATGCTCAGCACTGTCCCCTCACCCTACTGCCTCCGGACTAAGTGCAGTGTTTGTTTCTACACACCCTGTAACTTCATTAAGCAAAACCACACATCTGTCTCACAAAGAGACAGACGAAAGAAACAAAATATCCCAATTTCCTAAGCAAACATCTGGCTAATAGAAAGCAGAAGGCTTCGGGTGGAAGACTTCATTCATTCATTCATTCATTCATTCATTCATCAAACTCTCTAAATTACTCCCTAGTGTGAAACACTCCCACTTTTCATGTTTGGTTATTCACTTTTGGCTCAGTAAAATAACTGGAAAGTTGACACTTTTCCAAAATGTTAGACAACATGTTGCAAGATACAATAAGATACAAAATGAATAGTATTTTCAGCTCTTTCCACCTCTCAATATAGGGGCTCTGGAAAATATGAAGAAAGGAAAAAAGAATTTGGTGAACTGGATTTATCTCCCTTGCTGCCTCTCCATTGCCTTTTCATTTCCCCCTTGCAAACCTGGGTAATGTAAGTAATTAATTTTCAATAAGCTGAATAAATGGTCTTCCGCTATTAAATAGCTCTAACAGGTTGAGAGGTTTACAATGATGTGAGCATTCCAGGCAAATGTATTTAGTGGAGACTTGGAAATATCTGATAAGATTTCGTAAATACCCTTCGCTGAACTGGCAGCTTGTAGAGACCAGCACTGATACTGGGGCTGCTAAACAGGCTACTCAGGGCACCCTCTGTCACTAAGGTCTCACGCTTTTGCAAGAGAGGTTTTAGTGCTAAGTATCCCAATGGTTCAAATTTCATAGTAGGGGAAATAACTGCCCAAAATTTAAAACCCAGAAAATATGATCAGCCATTCTTTGGGAAGCTGTCTAAACAGAGGAAGGAAGCCAAGAACACACTGAATAAAACCAGTTCAGATCTCTATGTTTTACTCTTTCCTCTGTGGCAAAATCATCTCCCAAATTAATCTTACACTTTATTTTTTTTTTACCATCCAGACAACTGTCAAAATCATGATCATGAAGCCTGGTTGGCCCCGCCTCATATCATATCTCCACCCTGTCACCTGGCAGTGATGCCTTTTCCCATTTCCCCTGCTTCCACACAATGGTGACACTTTGAAGTAGTGCTGATGAGGTTCCTAAATCTGTGGTTTCTGCTTAAAATTGATAATCTCCTATGATACAAATCTCAAGCATCTATTTTTAATGAAACCTTTAGATGCATATCAAAGAACTATTTAGCCATGCCTAATATTTTAATTAGATTATATTCTCAATTTAACCCATTAAACCTCCTTTGATGATCCCAATATTTAGTGTTTAGCCTCAGATGCATGAGGTAATGAATACTGGACCTTTTGATTTAATGAGAATTTCAGCTCTTCCAGCCTGCGCCTCTTTGTATACCTTTTATTTTGCTGGCTATAGAATTCAGTTAATTGAAGGAGTCTCTTACCATCACACATTAAGGAGTATAAATTAGCATCCCTATTCTGATTGGAAAATGCAAGCAGACAGTTTTGCTTTGATCTGAGGAGTGAGCTGCAGAAGCCAGCAGCCCTCTGAAAATGAGCTGATGGCCCTTGTTCCCAGGGCAAAATGCAGATGCATCCATGTGTCACAAAACACTTAATGTCTTAATTGATCACCTCCCAATTCTTCCTGTCCTGTGTGCGTCATTCTCTTTAGAGACTTGTATATGCGTGTGTCTGTATGTGTCTATTTGTGTATCTGTATCTTTGTCTTGCTTTCTCGGTTCATCCTTTCTGTTTCTCCCCTCTCCTCAGGCAGCTAGGGACCTAGGTTTTAAATTAATCTGAGACAAAGGAAAATGAAATAATATAAATTCCCTCACCTTGAAATTTATAAGACTATCTGGTAGAGCTATTCAGAATCTTTCACAGACAAAGATTCTTAAGAACTAACTCTAACTTCCAATTTTCTCAGCCAGGCAGATGCAAGCCGTTGGTACTACATCACTTAATATGAAGTAGACAGGCTATTCTGTGTTTTGGCAAGGAAATCAGCCTTCTAATCTGTTCCAGTGATAATGCAATTCTCCTGTACCTCAACAATTCAGTTACATAAAAGAAATGTTAAGATAAAAGATCAACACCTCCATTACTCCCTATAAATGCCAAAATAAAATAACAGAAAATTCAAAATATGGTATACTAAACACACACACACACATACGTTCTCTCTCTCACACACACGCACATCTATTTCAGTCCCTTGACAAGTCCTACTAAAATAATAGTAAAGTTTTTAAATTGCATAAATATATAAAAACAAGGAGAACAGGAGGAGGAACAATAGTAATAACATTTTGAAAACTGGAAAGCATATGAATGAGTTGTTTTAAAAACTTAGCAGACCCAAAAAACACTAAATTCTTTTTACATTTTCATAGAATATCAGATTTCTCAAAAATACTAAATTCTAAGCTAGCAATAGGAAAACCAAGAATCAACCTGACTTACACTCTAGAATACCCAAAATGCTCAGGAATTAATGGTGTCAGTTACCTCTCAAAGTAGGAATGAATGGAGATGTGGGGCCGGGGGAGCTAAGGAAGGGTGACTGCATGAAAGTCAGTTTAAGAGCAGTTACACCTGTGAATCCTTTCCTCAGTTCCCACGCAGCCACGCACAGCTCCTCCACTGACCCAGTAAAATACACTGCCCTAGTATCTTTGGAGTCAGGGACAACTGGTTCTATTGAGGATACACAGTAAGTACTGAAAAAAGAGTCAATAGTGACCATGTGTACTGTAAACACAGAAACCTCTGGTCTTCTTCCATTTGGCTCCCAGAACATTGGGACTTTATTCTACAAGCAGGAATTTGGAAAGTTCTTCTCTGGAGAATCTGACCAGCCTAAAAGAAAAGACTTAAAAATCCTGACTTCAGAGGTTCGCCAACTAAAGACCCCAACTTTGTTATCCTACAGTTAAACCTCACAATCAACAAGTCCCATCCATGTACTCATAGTTTCCTGTCAGCCTTCTAGCCTCTCACTTAAATATGAGCAGACAACCAAGAATTTCCAAACATCTGAGGATATGACACAGGACTATTTTTAAAAGGAGGTGGACAAGAAAATTAAAAAGAGATCTTGGGAATTACAATTACAGTCAAAAAATTACAAACACAAAAATAAGGTTAGAAGACAACATTGAGGAATTTTTCCAAAAGTCAGAGAAAAAAGGCAAAGAGATAGAAAATAGGAGATAAGAGATTAGGAATTTAGAGAGTACTCCCCATAACTGAAAAAAAAAATGCATTTTCAGACTTAAAGAATTTATTGAATATCTGAAACAATGGATGACAATAAACCTAAAGCAAGGCATATAATTGTAAAATTTCAGTACACTAGCTACAAAGAAAGTATCCTACAAGCTTCCAAAAAGGAAAATAAATGAATAAATAAAACAGGACACACATAAAAAATCAAGAATCGAAGTCATTTTATACTTCACAATAGCAATTGGAAGCTAAAAGTCAGTGGAGTGATGAATTCAAAAGTATTCAAAAATGATTTCCAACTTAGAATGCTATACTTAGCCGCATTACTAATAAAGCATGAAATTAGGATAAAGAGATTTTTAGATAAGGATGATCTCCAAACATTTACCTCTCACGTACCAATTGTCCAGAAACTACAGTAGACTGTGCTTCACCAAAATGAGACAGTAAACCAAGAAACAAAAAGATATGGGAAACAAGAGTAAAATACAGTGGGCCCGGCGCAGTGGCTCACGCCTGTAATCCCAGCATTTTGGGAGGCCGTGGCGGGTGGATCACGAGGTCAGGAGATGGAGACCATCCTGGCTAACACGGTGAAACCCCGTCTCTACTGAAAATACAAAAAAATCAGCCAGGCGTGGTGGCGGCACCTGTAGTCCCAGCTGCTCGGGAGGCTGAGGCAGGAGAATGGTGTGAACCCGGGAGGCGGAGCTTGCAGTGAGCTGAGATCGCGCCACTGCACTCCAGCCTAGGCGACAGAGCGAGACTCCGCCTCAAAAACAAACAAACAAACAAACAAACAAAAAACAGAGTAAAATACGGTGAAATTAAAGGAACCCCCAGGATGATTGGGAAGGGAGAGCCATTTACATAGAATCCAGAATGGAGCAGATCAGAAGGCTCTGGGAGAGGTTTGTTTAGGAAAATGGAATGTTAGGAATTTGTGAATACCTTGAGAGTGTGATACAGACAAATGGCAAAGAGTTTGGGAATAAATTAGTTATAAGTACATTAAAATTAAGAATAATAAAATAAGTATTAATTGCAAGGAAAACAAAAAGTCTCACAGAAAAGTCATTGATTTCCTGGCTTAGCTGAGAATTGCATATACACATCGTAACAATGGTCTAGGCTGGGCGCGGTGCTTCACTCCTGTAATCCCAGCACTTTGGGAGGCGAAGGCGGGCGGATCACTTGAGGTTGGAAGTTCAAGACCAGCCTGGCAAACATGGTTAAACCCCGTCTCTACTAAAAATACAAAAATTAGCCGGGTGTGGTGGTGCATGCCTGTAATCCCAGCTTCTCTGGAGGCTGAGGCAAGAGAATCACCTGAACCCGGAAGGCAGAGGTGGCAGTGAATCAAGATCGTGCCACTGCACCGCAGCCTGCGTGACAGAGCAAGACTCTGTCTCAAAATAAATAAATAAATAAATAATAATTTTAAAAATGGTCTAACCAAAATTATGCTAGAAGGACAGAAAGGGTGCACACATATGTGTTGGGAATAGGGGAGAAATAGAAATAGGGAATAGCAACAAAATGAAAGTTTTACTTTTTATAGTGTGAAGTACTAGATAATTTCCAAAATATAAATTTCAAAACAACAACAACAACAACAACAAAAACAGCAATTCAGTGACAATTTAGAAACGTGGCGATAAATACCAAAATTATCAGCTAAAAATTGAAAGTGATTGCCTCTGTAGTGAAGAAAACAAGAAAGGGGGCACGGGACTGCTCTATTTAAAAATAATCCTCGGGCCGGGCGCGGTAGCTCACGCCTGTAATCCCAGCTCTTTGGGAGGCCGAGGCGGGCGGATCACGAGGTTAGGAGATCGAGACCATCCTGGCTAACACGGTGAAACCCCGTCACTACTAAAAATACAAAAACATTAGCCGGGCGCGGTGGCGGGCGCCTGTAGTCCCAGCTACTCTGGAGGCTGAGGCAGGAGAATGGCGTGAACCCGGGAGGCGGAGCTTGCAGTGAGCCGAGATCGCGCCTGGGCGACTGAGCGAGATTCTGTCTCAAAAACAACAACAACAACAACAACAAAAAAAAACTAATAAAACTCATGGAAGTATTTGACTCTAAACAATGTGCATGGTGATAAAAGCCTAATATTTAAAATTTAAAATGAAGAACTTAGGATGGGAAGGAGAAAAAAATAGATGGAAAAAGAGCAGAGCAAGCATACAGTATTCGTTTTTTGCTCATAGCATGTAAATTATTCTCATTTGAAACTCAGGATAAAGAGCCACGCTTCTATCCTATACCCATTGTTTTCCACAGCCTATTTCCAATCCCAAGTTAAGCACTGT